TGTTAAAGAGCTCAAGTGTATCAATTCTGAATTTCTATTATAACCACAAGGGCAGGAAGTATACCTGTATGTCACTCAAATGTCTAGCACATTTCTGTTCACTCGGTTTGCCGTTATTAAGCACTCACTGAATAGAGTTTAATTTACCCGGGAAAGTTTTTCATTCCCAGTCTTAGCCAATGTCATTTACAAAAATGGGACCATTGCTTTCAGGTTTGTATTTCAGCTTTGGGTCTCTGCCGTTATCTGCAAGGAGGTGGCAGAGTTCGATAGGCAAGCTGAGCTGACCCCTGCAGGCATTTAATGTCCCGGCTCTTCCCTGCCTTCACCAAAAACAGTTGCCTGAGTTAAACTGGTTTTCCTATTTAGCTCCCTGAAATAGAACTTCGGTAGCTGCTCTTCTCATGGAAGAAAAGAATAATGGGCAGTCAGGAGGCTGTTGAGTAAGGGTAATGGGGAAGGAAAAGAGAATGAGAGTAAAGAGGATCAGACTATATAAAAGACTTTCAAGATCCAGCTCTTAGACCTAGCCGGTTTGACTCAGTGGGTAGAGCGTCAGCCTGCAGACTGAAGGGTCTTGGGTTCAATTCCAATCAAGTGCATGTTCCTGGGTTGCAGGCTTGATCCCAGGCCAGGGAGGCAACCAATTGATGTGTCTCTCCCCCTCCCACTCTCTAAAAAACAATGGGAAAAATATCCTTGGGTGGGGATTAACAAAATTAAAAATCCATCTCTTAGGCTTATAGTTAATTACACAATTTATTCCTGGTCACATTTTTTGGCCATGAATGTCAGCGTAGAAGAATGGTGAATTGGCCCTGGCTGGTTCGGCTCAATGGATAGAGTGCCGGCCTGTGGACTGAAGGGTCCCAGGTTCGATTCCGGTCAAGGGCAGATACCCAGGTTGCAGGCTCAATCCCCAGTGGGGGGCATGCAGGATGCAGCCGATCAATGATTTGCTCTCATCACTGATGCTTCTATCTCTCCCTCTCCCTCTCTGAAATCAACAAATTTTATATATATAGTGGTGAATTGAGTAGGAATGATAGAAACAAACTCCTAGGACCACCCTGTAGTCAATGTGAAGATCATCAAGGCATAACCTGGTAGTCTTGCTGCTCTCTTTGCTGAAAGGTCCCAGCGAACCAGCTTCCAGATAATCTGGAATAAACTTCATTTCGGCCTTGCTAATTACGGAGCTAAGGAGACCTTGGGTCTTTGGTGAGTTAGAAATGGAGTGTGTTTTTATTTTATTTTTAGGGAAAAAAAATCTTTTTAATTTTAGAGAGAGAGAGAAATATTAATGTAAGAGAGAAACAGATTAGCTGCCTCCCGCATGCACCCTGAACACTGAACCCACCACCTTTCACTGTATGGGACAACACTCCCACTAGGCCACACTGGCCAGGGCAGATGGAAGTGTATTTTAATAGGATGCTAATTTTCTCCTTTCAGAGCCTAGGTGGACAGAGCATTTGCAGAAATGCCCACACATGATTGTGCACAGGTTACTGCCCACTGCAGATGACTCATGCTGCTCTTGTGTGTTGTGATATACTCGGAACAAAATGAAGCCAACGCCATCATTTTGCAGTGCCCAACCAAACTTCTTTTTGTGGAGATTTATATTGTGGACTATGCTACAGTTTTTGGTGGATGACAGTCACAAAATTCAAAATCAAGTAGTATATACTGGCCTTCTGAACTCTGTGCACACCCTATTTTAGTCTCCTACACTTGTTCTTCCTGGAATGTCTGCATCTCTCTACATTAATGCAATTTCCCTCTCAAAATTAAAGATACACTGCCGTTTCTGACACACATCCCACGCAAAGCCTCATTGGATTTTTTTTTTGCTAAATGAAAAATGCATTCAACAATCAAGTTTCTAAGAAGGTGTTAAGTGGGGAAAGATAATGTGTAATAATCAAGAAATGAATTTACACCCTAGCTGGTTTGGCTCAGTGGGGAGAGCGTCAGCCTGTGGAATGAAGGGTCCCAGGTTCAATTCCGGTCAAGGGCACACGCCCAGGTTGCGGGCTCCGTCCCGGGTCGGGGGTGTGCAGGAGGCAGCCAATCAATGATTCTCTCATCAGTGATGTTTCTCACTCTCCCTCTCCTTTCCTCTCTGAAATCAATGAAAAAAAATATATATATATTTTTAAAAATGAATTTACTGAAACAGAAACATTGACCATTTTTTCCTCAGGAAGGAGTAGAAATCTGTGGTGACCGTAACAGACTATGAAGTCTCCTTAAAAAGCAGTATTCTCATAAAAGAAGAATCAAGTTTTTTTTTAAGCCCTAACACTAGAGAAACAGGAAGATTTTATATGTTGCGTGTGTGTGTGTGTGTGTGTGTGTGTGTGTTTAACGTTTTTTGCCTAAAGATTGAATAATATCTCTTTCATATTGTTGTAAGAAGCTATTTCTTCTCTTTATCCACTACTGTATAGAGCAGACAAATTTATAATTAAGTCCATCAGTCACCCTGGTGATGGTGAAGGAACAACAGAAGGAATGGACATCACCTCAAGACCCTCAACTTGGAAAACAGTGGTCCTCATTGGTCACTGTATTGTTCTCCCATGAAGTGGAGCTTTTGCAGAAGCTCCTCTAGTAATCAGGACACTGGTATCTTCTGCCATATCTTGCAGTTTTCAAGGTCCATACATTGTGTTTTCTCTGCTTTGACCCAGGTCTCTTCTGGCCCACTAGTACCTGCCATGGTATTTCGAACTCGTGTCCAATGTTGCTTGTCAGCAAGACCTATGTAGAGGCAACCAAAAGCATAAAGAGTTCCTGGAACTGTTTTTGCACAGTATTGAAAACTGACAGCTGCTCCCCAAACATCCTCACTTGACAAAGGTGCTATTAGGGGACTCTTGCTGCCTGCTAAGAACGGGGCACCCATAATTACCCTAGACTTCAGTGAGTTCTAATCCTGTTTTGCTCTTGTTCTAAAAATGGGCATTTGGTCAGTTTCTAAATTTATTTAGAAGTACTGTTAGAGGAAAGGCCCTGGTATTTGTTTATAAGAATGTCATCTATATATAAAAGCCTAAGCGACCAAACTACCGAATGGTGGACTGGTCCCTATGACGTGCACTGACCACCAGGGGGCAGACACTCAATGCAGGAGCTGCCCCCTGGTGGTCAGTGCCTCCCGCAGTGGGAGCGCTGCTCAGCTGACCTGGATGAGCAGGGCAGGATGAGCGCAGAGGCTCCTCCCAGGCCACCTGCAGATTGGCACACTACTACATCCCTAGGGGTATGTTGGATGCGGAGGGACCGGCCTCTAGTATATCTAACAAAATTGAAGACATACACAGCTTGACGAGTTAAAAGTATGTTCCATTGTTGTGGAATACCTTCCAAGTGCATCCTGTCTCCTGCATAGAGGATAGTATTATTGTTTTTAAAAAGAATATTATGAACCTCGCCAGTGGCTCAGTGATTGAGCATCCACCTATGAACCACAGTTCCATCCCTGGTCAGGGCACATGCCTGGGTTGCTGCCTAGGTCCCCAGTAGGGGGCGTGCAGGAGGCAGCTGATCAATCATTCTCATCATTGATGTTTCTCTCTCCCTTCTCTGAAATAAAAAAATATATATATTAAAAAAGAATATCATGAAATGCAGATTTACTTGGTTAACAAGTTTGGGTGGTTAAACACACGGAGCTCCAAGTACAAGCTTCTTTCTTGTCCTGGTCAGGAGGCCTACTACACCCAAGGTCTCACCCGTGGTGGGTGTCCTGTGCGCCCGGAAAACCCGAGCCTGCAGACAGGCTCCGAGCTCGGGGCCCAGGGCTCGCTCTGCCCAGCTCTCCCCATCTGCTCCCCCCCCCCCCCCCCCCCCCCACCGGGCGGGACCTGTTTCCCTTCTGCAAAATGGGGCGGGGACGGGACCGGCCGGATCTGGAAGGTGTACCCGACTGCACCCTCTAACTCCCTGAATGGAACCTCAAAAGTCCCGGAAAGGAGCTCCACCTCCCGCTTTCTCGGTCCGGACGGCGACGGGGAGGGGCTGTCGCGGGGCCACCAGCCTGGGCC